GTTGCGCTTGCTGCGCGGGGGGGGAGGGGGGGAAAGGCGGTCGAGATTGCCGGGCCGGGGCCGGGGCCGGGTTCGTTGGGGTGGTGGTGTGAAGAAGGGTTCGGACATGGGCAGGGGGACGGGGACGCCGCTATGGCGTCGGGAGCGGGACTGGGGAGGGGTGTGGTAGCTGCTGGTTTCTCTTGAGAGTTGGGGGGGAGGGGGAGGGTAGCTGGGGCCTGCGTTCTTGTCGCCGGCGTAGGATTTACGTCGGTGGTGGGAGGAGGAGGTTGATGAGGATGGTGGGTCTTGCCTCCTTTCCCGCTCCTTCTTGTCCTTCATCCTGTCCTTGACGTAGTCCTTGGCTTCCTTGTGGGGTGAGCCGCCTGCGAACCAGACCAGGGCGTCGAGGACGCTGGGCCGGCGGGATTTCTCCTTCCCGGGCATTTTAGGGGGTGGTTGTTATGGGACACTATCAAAGTGTATGTGCTGGGTTGTTGTGGTAGTTGAGCTTAAGACCGGCTTAAGAGGTAAGTGTTCAGGTGAAGTGAGAGAATACCTGAGGGGTGAAATGAAGAGGTTGTGATGTAGTGAGATGAGTGTGGATTAACGAGGTGAGAAGGTGTCTTTGTATATACACTCCATCAAGATCTCGATTGAGCATGAACAGCCTGGTCAACCTACTTAGTCCTTATGATTGTACCAGAACAGCAAAACAGCGGTTGTCTTAAGCAACAGCGCTCCTTACATGAGGGCTGTTACTCATGATTGAACACTCAGCGAAGATTGCAACTATTCAACTCCAAGTGTAGACCACACTCGTAGAACAGAGTTGCGGTCGCTTTCTCAACAACTCAAGTAGTTCAGGGCAACTGAACTCTCATAATATGTGATTGGTTGTCAAAGGGAGACTCGATTGTTCCGTGGCAAACATGAAGTCGAACATTTGCTTGTGTTGTCTAGGCTATCTTTGTCTTTGTCGTCCCCTTTCAAACCAACAATTGCCATTGTCCAGCAAAAAGGACGTATATGCGGCCGTAACAACGATTTTAAACCCTGCTCTCCGTGGCCGCTGACTTGACTTTAGGGTAACTTAGTAAGATCTAGAGAAATGTCCGTACAAAGCCAGGGGTGATCTACATAGATAACACACCACGCCGCAAAACGCACTTGATCACGACTCACTGCTAAGTCAAAGGTAGGCAGCCTAACACCACTAAGAAAAGCTAACAGTGAGTTTCCCATCAAATTCCGTTACATTCATTAAACTGGCCATCCCATAGGTATTCAAGCCGTAATCGCTCACCAGAACGCCGTTTAAAAATCAACTCTTAGTACTCTCAAGCAGTATTCCCAAAGAACTTGGTAATCTTCTGGCTCCCATCCGGCTTCCCTCTAGCCTTTACCGGGCTCCTCTGGGCGTTGCTGGTCGCGCTAATCTTGCCTCGGGCCTGCGGTTTCTGTTTCATCGGAGAAGCCGACTTGAAAGACGCTGTCTTTTTGGACGGTGGTTGTTCTTTCGTGGGCGATGAGTCCGCTTCTCTCTTGATCCCTTTCTTTGGCGAATCCGTCCCATCGTTACGCCCCATCTTCCCCAACTCCCCTACCGTCTCCGTCTCGGTCTTCGTTTCCTCGTCCCCCTGACTCGCCCCCGTCTCCATTTTTACCTCCACTCCCTTCTGTTTCCCAGCCGCCGCAGCAAAGAAATTGGCAATATTCCCCTTATTCTCCCTACTCGCAACAGGAATCACAAAACTCGGCGAATTATTCCCCACCTTCCCCACCTCCTTACTCACCGGATACACTTCCACCTCCCCCTCAAACGGTTTCAACAACCCCTGCAATTCCCCGTTCCACTCCGTCCGCTTCGGATCCAACCACCGCCACAGCCCTTCCGACCCAGCCTCCAAAATAACCGGCATCCGATCATGCAAAAACTTTAGTTGCTTGTTACTATCCGTCGTGATCACCGTGTACGTGTACAGCCCTTCCCCCCCTTTTTCCCCTTCCCCCTTTTCCCCTTCCCCCTTTTCCCCTTCCCCCTTTTCCCCTTCCCCATCAGCTGGGTACCCCTCCCCTGAGTGAGACTCCTCACCCCTCACACAATCCCACAACCCCGCAAAGAACATCAACCCCCCATCCCGTCTCTTCACAAAATGCGGCACCTTATCCTTCGGCCCGCCGCCGGGTCGAGAAAGCCACTCGTAAAAACCCTGGGCGATGATCACGCAGCGCTTGCGGGTCTTCATGCTCGCCCACATCCCGCCCGGCATGGCGAGGGAGTCGGCGCGGCAGTTGATGGTTTTGAGGAGGGAGGAGTATGAGGAGGAGGGGTTGGAGGGGTTGTTGTGTTTTTTGGTCCAGGAGGGGATGAGGCCCCATTTCATTGTTTGGAGTTTGTAGTGGGTGGGGGTGTCACTGGTTTTCGGAGCCCCGGTGTCGTCGGTTTCAGCAGCATCAACATCGTGTTCAGCCCGATCGTTAGGACCGGCATTGGAACCGGCATTAGAACCGGCATTGGCGCCCGCCTGCCTTGAGTAGCCGCCGCCGCCATGGCTGGGCGTATCGGCACGATACACCACACCGTGGTAGCCAGGAGCGAAATTGTAGCTTTGCCGGGGAGCGCCGTCGCCGTCGTCTGCGGGCGAATCGTCGACGGGCATGTCGTCGTCTTGGAGCCATTGGCGAAGTTCGGAGGGCCGCTGTTATGGGGTGGTGAGCAATTCGTTACAGGGGATATGGAATGGTATAGATGGGGTTGAAGGGTTGTAAGGGGGGGGTTGGGGTGATGGGATGAGAGAGGTGTGAGATGGGAGGCTTACCAAGGCCATTGCGTATCGGCCGCACATGGTGTTTCTGGTTTCGATATAAACCTTACCAGAGCGTGTCAACTTTTAGATGTTCAATTGATCACTTTCTGATTACTCTGGCGCTGGTTGTGTCGATTGAGTGAAGTCGTTACAATCGTGATGCAATGACGTCGTCAACTTGAGCCGTCGCGTCTTGCAGTGGGGCAGATCACGAAATTGCATCGCCAAGTCACGTGAGCCATTTGAGATATTTCCCATCTCGGTAAGTCCGGTAAGTCAACAAAACCTTGCCTACATGGTAGAAACACTTGATCTCAAAGAGTCAGAAGAGATTCTGAATTGAAAGTTCTACCCGCTACAGCTCGCCTGCAATATTTCCCCTATATAAACTCAAGACTTAAAATGGATTCCCCAACACCTTTCCCGTAACTCCCTCCCCATTGCCCAGAGGAGCTATCACGCAGCAGCAGCCACCAAGCCCGTCTGCTCCACCCCATTCACCCCATTGCGCTTCTTCCCCATCCTCCTCATCCTCTCATCCTTCCTCCACGCGTCCTCAAACAACGTCGGCTTCGGCGCCACCTGGTGGTCCCGAATCCCCAGCCGACGCACCACCTGGAACGCCCCCGTACCAATAGACATGCTCTGGCCCATGATAATACACTCGCTAACACCCTGAATGCGGTCCTTCTTCATGCCCGCCGCCGCATCGAACAGATGATCCGGCGTCTTCTCAAACGACGCCAGTTGCAGCACGCTATCGCGCATCTTGGCCAGACCAAACCGCGTGATCCCGAGGATCTCGCCCTTGTAAGTCATTACGTCAGCTAGCAGTTCCATGTGGCGCGGGTCGATGGCCATCTCCTTCATGACGGCGCCGATTTCGACAGCGATGGTGGTGCGCGCTGCTTCGATGCCCAGCACGTCGCGGCATTCCATGACCGAGTTGGTGATGCACTTGGTGCCGATCACGCCTTCGGTGGTCATGCAGGCCCGCAGGCCGTAGCCTTCGACGAGGACGGTGTTGCCGTCTTTTTCGTCGGTTTGGATGATGGCGCGTGCCGCTTCGGGATAGCCGGAGATGGGCACCTGCGGGAGCATGCGCTTGAGGAAGTTGACGCGGAGTTGGAAGTCGGCGGCGGATTCGTCGAGGGTTGCGGAGATGAGCTGGCCCTTTTCGATGGCGGCTGCGCGGACGCGGGCGGCTTTGCGCTGGGCGGTTACGTCTTGCCAGGTGTTGCGGACAATTACTTCGACCCGGTCGCTGCCGATGCGCAGGTCGTCGGCTTCGATCTTGAGTTTGAGTTTCTTGGCGCGGATGATGGCGTCGGCGATGTCCTTGATGGAAATGCCCAGCTGCATATCCGAGAGGGCCTGTAAGTCGACTTGGAGGACAATCTTGGCGACATCGGGTAGCCACTCGTCGTCGATGAACGAGATGACGTCCGAGATGTAGGTCTTCTCGATCCTCCCCTTGACCACCCGCGCGGCCTTCATGTCCTGGTTGTTCTCGAGTTTGCATGTGATCACCGGAGTGCTGATGAGTTTTGAAGCATTGATGATTTCCTTGATACGGGGCACACCTTGGGTAATACTCATGCCTGCAACACCCGCAAAATGGAACGTCTTCAATGTCATCTGTGTCCCCGGCTCACCGATGGACTGCGCTCCCACAGCGCCGACGGCGTGGCCGGGTTCGACCCGCGCCTTCTTGTACTTGTGCAGACACATCTGGATGAATTGCCGCAGCGTCCGCTCCGACACCTTCGCGGCACGGTCGACGTGGCTCAACGCCTTTGCCTCAGACTTGGCCTGTCTCGCGACGCTGTCAAGCTCGTCGTCCCCGTCAATTTCCCGACGCAAGTCTGCCAAGACGTACTCGGATGCATCGCGAGGTCCCTCGATGATATCGATTTCCATCTCGGAAACATCCTGCACAGCTGGTTGCCACGCCTCAAGCTCCCCTTGCATCTTCTCATCCTTGACGCATGGGTCCAAGCCAACAGCCTTCCGGGCCTTGGCCAATTTCATGGCACGCCCCTGGACGTAGTCCCGGATCGTGTTGAGGTAGACGCGAGCGCTCTCGTGCTCGTCAATCGCAATCAGGACATCGTGATCCATGCTTTTGCGGATTGTCTCGTCGTCATACTTGATCTCTTCATTCGTGACCAAGTGGCGTCTCACGTACTTCTTGCGCTCCTCATCCAGGATTTCTTTGGATAATGTCTGAACCTGCCACGGGAGCAACGACGACTCCGAATTGCTCCACGTGATGCTTTGGGCATGGTTCCACGTCCTGCCAAAATCGACCGGCTTGGCCTCGCCCTCCATGTCCACGGGGTCGAGCCGGTCGGCACCGTACTGGAATTGGACGATTCCTCCTTCCGAGGTGCGCACTGTGTCGTCGTATTGTGTCGAAAGATCCTCGAGCGATTTCATCAGTCGTCTGGACATGTACCCAGTCTCAGCTGTCTTGACGGCTGTGTCGACTAGACCTTCTCTGCCAGAGATAGCGTGGAAAAGGAACTCGGTGGGGACAAGCCCGGTGTAGAAACTGTTCCTCACGAAACCCTTTGAAGGGGGCTGGCGGGCGTTCTTGTGGAAGTGCGGCAGACTACGGTCCTGGAACCCATCCGGCACACGCTTGCCGCCAATAATTTGCTGTCCGACACAAGCAACCATCTGGGCAACGTTGATGTCGGAGCCCTTGGACCCGGATTTCGCCATGATTAGCGGAGCGTTGTTGTTGCTCAAGTTTTCAACGCAGTAGTTACCTGCTTGTTGACGAACTTTGCTCAAAATACCGGAAATCGAGTTCTCGAGCGTCTCTTCCAGGTTACACCCAGCGGCCTTTTCCAGCTTGCCTTGACGGTAGGTCTCAATGAGGTCATCGCACTTCTTGTATGCATCCTCCACCAATTGTGCCTTGTGGTCCGTCAAGGACAGCGATGGCCAGACATCGCCCACGCCAATCGAGAACCCACGCAGCGTAAGAGTTCTCGCGCATAGCTTCGCGAGGCGGTTCATGGCTGCAGCCGCATGGTCCGGCCCAAAATCACGGAGGATGACGTAGAAAACGGAGTTCTTCTTGCCTCCTCCAACCGTCGCCTTGTCCATCCTCCCGCACATGACCTCCGAGTTTCGGACAACCAAGAAGGCGTCGTCAATGTCCATGTCTGGAATCTGGCCATCCTTCTTCTTAGAAAAGATCTTGTTCTTCGCCTCCAGATTCACGAGGACAGGTGACTCCTTGTTGGGGCGCATCAAGACGTTGAAGATCTGCTTTCCGGTCCAAAGAGCCTTGGGTTTCATGATCGCTGGCGGAGGAAGCTCGAGGTATGTGTCCCCTAGAAGCATCTGGGTACAGATGTAGGTGAAAGCTGTCCGGTCAAAGAACCTATCCTTGCCGCTCAACAAGTACGCTGCGGTAATGAAATCCTGTGTAGCCGCAATGATGGGTTCGCCGTTCTTGGGGGTGATGAGGTTGTTCTTGACGCCCATCAAGTTGATGGCTTCGGCACGGGCCTCCTCGGTCTGCGGAACGTGTAGGTTCATCTCGTCTCCGTCGAAATCGGCGTTGTATGGTGTGCAAACACATTCGTTCAGCCGGAATGTCCTCCACGGCCGGACTTTGACCAGGTGGCTCATGATACTGAGCTTGTGTAAAGATGGTTGCCGGTTGAAGAGCACGATGTCGTTATCTTCCAGGTGACGCTCAACCACGTCCCCATACTCCAAGCTACTCGCATGTTTCTCACGAGCACTCTCCCGCCCGAAGTTAAGGTTGTACTTGACGCCATCCTTCTTGATAATTCCCTGGGCACCCGGCCAAACAGTCGGCCCCGTGATGACACGCTCTCGGAGCTTTTCGATGTTGGCATGATTTACCCGCTCCGGGTAGGTCAGATTCTTGGCCACCAGTTGGGGAACGGCCACCTGCTCGATGCTGAGGTTGGGGTCTGGAGAGATAACTGTGCGGCCAGAGAAGTCCACACGCTTTCCAGACAGGTTTCCGCGGAACCGGCCCTGTTTTCCCTTGAGACGTTGGCAAAACCCACGGATAGGTTTGCCGAAACCCGGCTGATAGAGACCTGGTACATCACTGTTGACATACATGCCGACCTGCAATTGGAGGAACTCCCACTGCTCCATGATTACCGGGAGCGCAACGCCTTTCTTCAACGACTCGCGCAAATGCCCGGCGTAGAGGATAATCTCCGAGAGCTTGCTGGTGATATCATCCTCATTGCTGGCGTTCTCCTGCGCGACGGACGGCCTAATGCAAATAGGTGGAGCTGGGACATATTGCCATAGGAACATATCAGGGCGGCCTTCCGAAGGATCCAATCCAAGAAGCTCACAGTCCGTTTGACTGATTGCTTTGAAGAGGTGTAAAACCTTGAGGGGATTCAAATCATCCATGGCCTTCCGTGTATGCTTCTCCAACTCCGGGGTGTATTTCTTCGCTTGATCGAACGAGGCATCGAACTCCACTTTGCTCTCTGGAGGGATCTTTTTCTGTGCCGTCGACTTCGTGTATGCCGAAAATTTGTCGTGGACAAGCTTCATCACGCTCAGCTTCCGGATGACACCCTGAATCGAGCCACAGTACGGGCATGTCCTCGCCTTCCTGCACTGCTCATTGATCTTCTTCAAGATCGCCGAACGCCTCAGATTATCAATCCCGGGGCGGCGGAGCTCTTTGAGAAACTGGCGTCGTTCGGTTTCCTGCAGAAGAACTCGGGCGCAATCTTTGCAAATGTTCTGCAGCGTCGATTGAATGTACCTTAGGTAACCGATGTGGAAGACGGGAAGCGGCAATCGGACGTGGCCGAAGTGCCCGGGGCACTCCTGTACAGCTAAGTGGCATGTCCCACACTTGCTTTCGCGATTTGTGCTCGAGGTTCCCTAAACACCAGTTAGCTTCCTGCTAACACCATCGTTCTGACCGAGCTGCTCACCAAGCGAGGGTCGAGAGGCCCGTGAGGGAACGCGGTTCTCCTATTTTCGACATCGTAGAGCAAATTATCGGAAACTTCGAGAACACCTTGGCTAACAATGTCCTGGTGAGACCTAAGGAGAGATGGCGCATTAGCTCAATCTTCCAGCGCAAGTCGGAGCATAAAGGAGCCGTACTGAATACCGAATTTGAGCGACTTGAAGCGTTTAGGGAGCTGGTCAACCAGCTGCTCCTTCCGCCTTCTTGATTTCTGCTCCGGCGCCATCGGTCCCGTTGTGGTAAAATCGCAAAATGGTCGTCAAACGCAGGCAGCGCTGGAAGATGCGCTCGATGCCGCTTCGCTAGGCTAGCTGCACATAACGCGTCGCAAGATGAAGAACTCGGGGGAGATAGATTGAACAAAGCTGGAAATTCGTATTGAAATGCTTCCTAAGATTAGTTCGGTCGGCGACAGCGCGTGGCTCCAATGCGAAAGGTTGACATCCGAAAACTCGATGGGGCAGACTGGAATCTCTCGACGCAACAAATAATTTTTGGAGGCGGGGCATCGGAATGACTCCAATTCGGAAAGTCGTGCCCCACCAAGGTTCGGCGATCCCTGCACCTGCAGTACTTGGCGCCTTGCGGCAGCCTGGACCGAATACGCGGTATTTCAATGGAGAATGAAGTAGATGGAATGTGCAGAACACATAAATTATTCAAACCGGGGTAAATTCACAGCACAAAAATTGTCTCAAGTTTTCCGGCGGTGAAAGGCACCCCATATCGAGTTCTAATGCCAATCCCCAACACGGTTTTGCTCGTTGCACCACCAAACGTGATCTTTCCGTAAGCTGCGCCAGAACTTGACCGTATGTAACTACAAATACAATACAAGCTGGGCGCAGTCACCCCGGCCAATTAACAGTGGGGCAAGACACTGCCTGCCGGAGCGCAAACAGCTCCAATCAGCAGCCACGTTGCCCGCAGCCGTCATCATTCACTCAAAGCATGTGGTTGTCAGTTCAAAGCTTCATAACTTACCCTCGCCGACCCGAACCACGGCCATCATTTGGGCCAGAGTGACCCTTCCCTCCCTCAATTCTGAGACATTGTTGGCCCGGTGAAACCCACACAATAAGCGCTCTTTGTCACCTTTTCAACCTTCGGGTCCTCCGTCCACTGTCAAACATTGACTTGAATGCTTCATCCCAAGCCGGATTTACCCCCGCAGCAACGCCCCTCGTTCCCGTGTTTGCGCCGCGTACAGAAAAGAGGTTCTGCGCCGCCGCGAAGTCAGATCTCTTTCCCTGTTCGGTGTCCGTGCCAGTCGCTATTCACGTATTCAGTCACTTGTCAACATTGGCGTCGTTACTTTCATCTCGAGTTTGTTCCCGTTCTTGCTCAGCGAGGCCAGGTCTTTGTCATATCTACCGTCATCGCCCGTGGCAGACAAATCCCCACAGCGCATCGATATCCTTGTTCGGGCGGCTCCCCGGTGATTCCGGTGCCATGGCATCCGGGTCCGCGGACAAGAAGGCGGACAAGAAGGTAGAAAAGTCCTATCTCGCGTCCGCCGTGGACTCGATCAATCCGTGGGCCGGAAGCCGCAGCACGACTCCCACACCTAAAGACCGCCAACCCGCGCCAGTTCCCCCGAGCACGGGAGACCATGTAACAAATCCATTCTATGGGCAGACATCAGGGCGGTATCCGTCAGATTGCCCGCCATTGAAAGTGCAATGGTTCCATGCAGTAGATGTGAGTTCCGCGGCAGCCGAAACCCCATTGTATCTATGAGATCTGTGAAATTCACACTCGAGTCATCTAGATCCCGAAGCGCAAGCCAAAGTTCATGTCAACCAAAACCAACGAGGATTCAAAGCCAGCCCCGCCCAAGAAATACGTCTCGTTTTCCGTCGAGGACTCTCGTGCCATCGAAACTGCGTACCAGGCTAAACTCAAGGAACTCGAAGAAGACAGAGGTCAAAGCATTGGGCCCGACGGTGTCCACGCTGTAATCAAGCGACCGAGGGCAATATCCTCGGTAGGGGAGCAGGATGACGACTTGGCTGCCTCTTATACGAGCGTTCCGGTTAACGAGGATTTTCTCTTCGATGTTACCCTCGAGAATAGAGAGCTTGCGCCTATCTACTGGGAGGGCCCCACGTATGATGTTCGCCGTGGAAGTTGGTTCTATCAGGAGGGGTCCGCACTGCGTCCTTGTGAAGAGAACCTAGCAGCTCAGCTTGAAGAAGGGTACCTCAAGACAAAGCCCTGGAAATACCCGACTAGATCGCGCAGCAACTCCGTATCCAAATCAGCCGTCCCGAAAACGCCGGGTGAGAATCCGCAACCGGCTCCCGAAACTTCGCAGGAGGTCGTGAAAAAGGATGCGGTCCTTCCGCAGCACCAACCCCAGACGTACCGTCTCTTCGGAGCGTACATGAACAGCGTGGTTACGTATCAGGATACGGCGACTGCTTGGCTATCCTCCGACAGCATGCTTTCCTGGGTCACATCCACAATGTATGAACGATTTGCGGGTGGCGGTTATATGAGCGGTGTCAAGCTCGTTCGGGGATACGCCGAGACCAAGAAAGCAAAAGAGGAAAAGAGACCCACGACTCCAGAAGGCACCCGCTCGGCGTCGAAGGAGCGGCAAGACAAGCAATCCAAGGCGCTCAAAAGACGTTCCGCACCTCCTTCTAGCTCAGAAGCACGATCCGGAGAGTCGGTGGAGGATGACGATCTTGAAAACACTCGAAACCGGCTGACTCGCCAACTTTCGAACCTGATGGAAGGGGTTGAGGGCTCTGAAGGCGAAGAAGAAGCTATACGCGAACGTGAAGAGAAAGAAATCCTAGGGGACTACAATGCAAGAGTGGACGATAACCAAGGCCGAGAGATTGAGCACCTCGTGCTTGTCACACACGGGATTGGGCAGCTGCTCTCGCGCAGGTACCTACGCACCTCCCCATCCCTTAAGGATAGCCCGTCACTAACCACTTAACACAGGATGGAAAGCATCAACTTTGTCCACGATGTCAACGTAATGCGCAAAACAATGAAAGGGGTTTATTCCGCTTCCGCAGATCTCCGGGCCCTCAACTCGGAAATTGAGGAGCCCGGTCTCGGAAACTCGCGTGTCCAGGTTCTGCCAGTCAACTGGCGTCATCTCCTCGACTTCCCTAAGCGCAAACCGAAGCGGGGAGAACACGACCTGGGTGAGATCATAGATGATGAAGATGATTGTGAGTGCTACTCACACCATGATACACCTCCCCTACCGCCGACTGACATATGGACAGACCCGTCACTAGAAGACATTACGGTTGAAGGAGTGGCATTTGCAAGGTCACTCATATCCGATCTTGCCCTCGATGTTCTCCTGTACCAAAGTGCTTACCGGGAACAAATCGTTGAGATTGTGCTCCGGGAATCCAACCGTATCTACAAGATTTTTAAGGAGCGCAACCCCGAATTCAACGGGAAGGTGCACATTGTCGGCCACTCGCTGGGCTCGGCCATCATGTTTGACATTCTTTGTCGACAAAAGGAGAAATCTAGCGCTATTGAGCCACTGAGAAACCCCCTTCATGGCCGGACCTCTTCCACCGACCAGTTCGAGCCCAGCGAGCCGAAAGATCTGGCGTTCGATTTCGACGTGGAAGATTTCTACTGCCTTGGATCTCCAGTTGGCCTGTTCCAGATGCTCAAAGGCCGCACCATTTCCGCTCGGAATCACCCCAACGCGATGCCATCAGAAAGCCCTCTCAACCCGGACTACATGGATGACCCATTCCTCAATATCCCACCTCAGACGTTTGCCAATCAGCGTATCTCACCGGTTACCGGCCTCCCATTCAACGTTTCATCGCCCAAGATCGGCCAACTCTTCAACATTTTTCACCCATCCGACCCCATCTCCTACCGGCTCGAGCCGCTTATTTCCCCAGTCATGACAACGCTCAAGCCCCAGGTGCTACCGTACACTAAAAAGAGTATTTTCAACGCCGTCGCTCCCCAGGGGCTCACGGGAATTGGGGCCAAGATTGGGCAAAACGTCTCGGGCCTATGGAGCAGCTTCAGCGCCGGGATCGCCAGCAACTTGCTCAACCGGAGTCTCGGACTCAGCAACGAGGATGTTGCCAAGATCACCGCATCTCAACAGCAACAGCAACAGAAGCAACAAGAGCAACAACAATCACTTCGCCCTCAAAGCCGCGGTGCCGGAACCAATCTCTCGGCCGGTGTCGTGGCAGACGAGAAAGCTCTCTCAGAGGCAGAACGCAGTGAAAAGACAGCTGAACGGATGCTCCAGCTAGCCAGCGGTGCCGCTAACGGCGGGGGGTCCGGCACCCTGATCGATGACGAATTGGAAACTCTGTTCAGTCGGTTCCAAAAGAGCCGGATAGACAATATGGAGGGCAAGGCGGATGGCAAGGGCAAGGGCAGGACCAGAGGATCAGGATCTAGCACGTCCAGCGACACGGTCAGGCTAAGCCGGGAGAAGTGGCGGGAGGAGGAAAAGAAGGCACAGAGGTTACGGCGGGAAGAAGGGAAGATTCGGGCGCTGAACCAGAACGGGAGGGTGGATTATTGCATTCAAGAGTACGTATCCTTCTTTGTCTTTTGTTGACACTCGGGGCATACCAAGATGGCTAACAATGAATAGGAGTGTATTGGACTTCAATCCCATCAACACCATTGCGTCGCACATGAGCTATTGGGCGGATGAGGATGTCAGTCATTTTATGTTGTCACAAATGTTGTCAGGCAAGGGACGGTCTCCGAGGGGTTAGATGAGGAGCGTGCGGGTAGAAACGGCGTTCTAAAGAGGTTGAGTGGGCTTTTAGATGGATACGACATGGTTAGAAAAATAAGCCTCTGAGGCAAGATGTCTGGTTGCCGGAGGGAGTCAGGTTCGAATTAACAACTAGAAACCGATGAGGCGTTTTCTCCTTCCCTCAGCTCTAGTTATCTTTCCTTCTTTTTTGCTCTTTAGGTTTATAGAGATTCATAAATTTTCAGACACAACTACCCAGTTTCTCTCACAAAATCTCTATACACTTCCCCATGGGACACCCGCTGAGCAGTTGGTCCTGCAGCACATACAAACCCCATTTTGTCTATCCTCTATCCCAACCCATATAAAACCCCTTCTCCTCAGCCCACATTCACTGAAACAGCCCCCCTTCCACCAACCTAACCCACGGCCCTCCCAACTCCAAGCAAACATCCCCCGCTGTCCGGCCCCGCTCATCCCTCACCGTCCTCACATCCTCTGTGCCAGGCAATCTCTCATCCTCAGGCAAGAACAACAACCGTGCCAGCTCCAAAGTGCTCTCAACAACCTGCACCACAGCAGGCGGGAAATCCTCCGCGCGTGCCCCGCTACCTAACCAAAGCAACAGCCACACCGCTTCCTCCTGTTGCGCCTCCAGCGCTACGTGCAACGCGCTGCGCAAACCATTGAGCGGGTCCCGCCAGGCGAGGAGCTGGGCTGCGTTGAGGGTGTCGATGTCCGTGTCGTCCTGGTCGTATTCGTCGTCTTTGCCTTCGTTATCTTCGTCATCGTCATCATCCGAGCCGTGGGGGTTCGACTCGAGGGACTGGAGGAGCTCGACCATCCCCTGGACTTGGCCTTCCGCGGCAAGGGTATGGAATGCGCGTGCTGGGCGGGCTTCCGGGTGGGCTGAGAGGTAGGACTCTTCGAGGAGGGTTGGGTAGATGTCAAGGTTGGGTTGGGCACCGCCTTCGTTGGTGTAGTGAGTGGGGATGTGAGGGGTTGGTTGGGTTGGTTGGGTTGGCTGAACGTTGGCTGAGGAGGAGGAGGAGGATGAACCGGCACCAGACGCGGCTGGGACGTTTGTTGGGAGGTGAGTGTTGCAGGCTGGGCAGGTAAGTGCCGTGGTTACGTGGGAGGACTCTTCCAGAAGGCATTGCCAGTGGAAATGGCAGCCGCAGGGGAGGATGAGGTCGTCGGGGACGGTTTGAGGGTTGGTGGTCTCCTCGACCGAGTCCTCAGGGTCGAGGGTTATGGTGAGCGGCTCTTGGCATGATTTGCAGACCTTCGCCATTTTGGGGGTTGATACAGTGAAATATGAAATATACTTGATGTCGCGGACTCTTCTATCTAATGTGGTCCGTTAGTTAGTTGTGTGGTCCTTTTCATGAACGCAAAAGATACAACCAGTCCCGCAAGTAGTACTCACGCCTAAAATGAGAGTATCTCCCAAGACTGTGAAAAAAAATTGGCGTCCCACCCAAATGGCACTCACTCGTGAATTACGCCTAATTTCTGAAGCTATCCGCAGAATAACTGCAGAAACAGGAAATAAAAATTTAGGTGCCAATGTTAGTTAGTGGTTACAATTTTGTGCAACAAAATCCCCGCAGTCCGGTGCCACCGGAAAGTCCTTCCTAACAGCGCCTCCCTGCTCCAGAAACCGGGCAGCCCGAGAAGCTGATTGGGCCGTGACGCAATCCGTCTGAGGCTTGGTTCAACAGACCCCTGGTCCGATTACATCAGGCCCCTGAAGAGGAAGCCCCTCCACCCGCTTCCCCCGCCAACCCAGGGCGAACAAGCGCAGCACACCAGGCTTCCGGGTCGACAAAACCGCGAGATTACGACGCTCATCTTAGGCTTCCCTCTCCAGCTCGCCTCGCGATCCGGCTTTATCTACGCCAGGAGATCCTCCTTTCACCTTCCAGTTTCCCTGAGGCCCAATTCCACCAACAGTCAGCAAGAGATCAAGCTCTTAACCCGCCACGCGCTGAAATCGCGCCACCATGAACGTCCTCAAGCTCCAGAGGTGCGGCTTCCCATCCACAACTACGAAGGCGATACACATAGCGCATAGTCTCTGAGCGTTTTGTACTAACTGAACCTTGTCAGGAAATTTCCTCAATTCCAACAAAATGACATCTTCTCTCTCGCCGACGCATTCCGCAAGCTCGATGTTGACGATAAGGGTTACATTGACGAGGCCACGGCCATCAAGGCCACTCAAGCAGCCGAACGCCAGCCCTACGACGTTGTCCGCCAGGCGTTGAAGGAGGTTGAGCTCGATTCTTCCAGGCGAGTCGAACTGGAAGACTACGTCGGAGTAAGTCCACTCTCCGCGCGCATTTCCGGCGTCGCTTGGTTCTCCCCTTCTCCCTCTATCCAGGTTTGGGGATCGTTCCAAGGAACCGCGCAAAATGCGATGCGATGAGCCCCTTATTACTATGATATCTAACCGTTACTCAGCTCGTTGCCAAACTCCGCGATTCCCCAGGCGGCCCCCAAGGGATATCCGCCGCCGCCGCCGCCTCGCCAGCCGCGGTCATTTCCCAGAGGACAGGTGGTGGTGGTGGTGGCCATGCCTCCAAGGGCAGCATCGGAGGCAGTGGTAAAATTTTCGTGGCCGGCTCCAACTCCAACATCACCCACACGATCAACGAAGATGAACGCACCGAATTCACTCGCCACATCAACGCCGTCCTGGCAGGGGACCGCGATATCGGCAGCCGCTTGCCCTTCCCGACTGACACCTTCGAGATGTTCGACGAGTGCAAGGATGGCCTGGTGCTCGCCAAACTCATCAACGACAGCGTTCCCGACACTATTGATGAGCGTGTGTTGAACTTGCCCAAGAAGGGCAAAGCGCTCAATGCGTTCCAAATGACGGAGAATAACAACATTGTTATTGAATCAGCCAAGGGTATTGGCTGCTCAGTAGTCAACATTGGTAGTGGTGATATCATTGAGGTTCGGGAGCATCTTATTCTCGGTTTGATCTGGCAGGTCATCCGTCGCGGTCTCTTGGGCAAGATCGACATCAAGCTCCACCCAGAGCTCTACCGGTTGCTAGAGGAGGACGAGACGCTTGAGCAGTTCCTCCGCTTGCCACCAGAGCAGATTCTCCTCCGGTGGTTCAACTACCATCTCAAGGCTGCCAACTGGCCAAGGAGGGTACAGAACTTTTCGACCGACGTCAAGGATGCCGAGAACTACACCGTTTTGCTGGCGCAGATTGGTCACGAGTACGGCTGCACCCGGGGCCCGCTGCAGACCCGTGACCTACACCAGCGTGCGGAGGAGGTGCTGCAGAACGCCGATAAGCTAGGGTGCCGCAAGTTCTTGACCCCGTCATCCCTCGTTGCCGGAAACCCCAAGCTCAACCTTGCCTTCGTTGCAAACCTGTTCAACACACATCCCGCTCTTGACCCTATCACCGAGGAGGAGAAGATTGAGGTGGAGGACTTTGACGCGGAAGGCGAACGTGAGGCCCGCGTGTTCACCCTATGGCTCAACAGCTTGGATGTGCAGCCGGCTGTTCAATCGTTCTTCGACGACCTTTGCGATGGAACCATCCTTATGCAGGCATACGACAAGGTTATCAAGGGGTCGGTGAACTGGCGGTGCGTCAACAAGCGGCCAGCGCACGGCGGCGAGATGTCTCGCTTCAAGGCCGTCGAGAACACCAACTACGCCATCGAACTTGGCAAGCAGAACGGCTTCTCCCTCGTCGGTATCCAGGGCGCCGACATCACCGATGGGCAGCGTAAGCTCACGCTAGGCCTGGTCTGGCAGCTAATGCGCAAAGACATTGCCCTCACGCTCAAGGGCTTGGCACAGCGCCTGGGTAAACGTGAAATCACTGACTCGGAGATGGTTCGGTGGGCCAACGATATGAGCCGCAAGGGCGGCCGCAACTCCAGCATCCGCTCGTTCAAGGACCCGGCCATTGGCACTGGTGTCTTTCTTCTGGACGTGCTCAGCGGTATCAAGAGCAGCTATGTCGATTACGATCTTGTCACCGACGGCCGCACCGACGAGGATGCTTATCTGAACGCCAAGCTGAGCATCAGCATTGCAAGAAAGATGGGCGCGACTATCTGGCTTGTGCCGGAGGATATTTGCCAAGTTCGCGCGCGTTTGGTCACAACGTTTATTGGTACGTTATCCTGCCCACTTTGTTCTAATCGATGATTATGTGTATTACATTCAATACTGACAATACCCCAGGTTCGTTGATGGCGGCGCACGAGAGGATGCAATAAATGATGTACGACGATTGATAAACGCAAGATGGCACAAACGGGCAAAACTTTTGAACCCCGGGGCTGGTGAATGGTGGTGGGTGGTGGTAGGTTCCCGGAAAAGTCGAATTCAATGGGTTCTTCCTGGTTCTCTTTACTCGTCGTTGCTAGGGCGTATCGAGCAGTTTCTTTTCGCTCTCACAGTTTGGCAGTTTGAAGTTTTACCCTTTTAAATGTAAGAATTATTCTCCAGCCCGGGACAATCTTGCCGTCGCATGTTTCCTTGAAACCGAGCGCCCTCGGCCATCAGGGTGCCTGTAAGTCCCAGCCAGAAAGCGGTAAAAAGTGGCAGAATGGATGATCCCTGTAAGACCCCGCCACCCCTCGCGGCCGAGAACGGTTTGCCCCACCAAACGTTTTATGTGTCACTCGTTTGGGCCACCTTTTTTTATCCGGGACGAGTCACCAACAACAACAATTTTGTTGCGATTTGTCTTTCTTTTTGCATTTAGCAGCAAGGCAGGAGACAATGGCGGCCGCGGACGCAGACCAGCGCTTAGCGCTCATCAACGAGAACCTCGCCGAGGTACTCAACGAGGAAATCATCAAAAAGATCCTCGACGAGGGGCGGCATCCCAAGATTTACTGGGGTGGGTAAACAGTTGCTATTGTCACAGGGGGCTACAGAACGCCATTACCAGCCCAGCAAAGCCTCCCCCAGTTATGTACACGCTTAATACTGACAAGACACGACACACTCCAGGTACCGCGACAACAGGCCGCCCGCACTGCGGCTACTTCGTCCCCGCCATCAAGATCGCCCAGTTCCTCGCCGCCGGCTGCGATGTGACCATCCTCCTGGCCGACATCCACGGCTTTCTTGACAACCTCAAGGCGCCGCTGGAGCTGGTGATGCACCGCGCCGAGTTCTACCGTCACATTATCACGACCATGTTGCAGGCCGTTGGCGTGTCGACCGAGAAGCTGCGCGTCGTGCTCGGCAGTTCGTACCAAAAGAGCCCCGAGTATGTCATGGATGTCTACAAGATGGCGTCGCTCATCTCGGAACACGACGCCAAGAAGGCCGGCGCCGAGATCGTTAAACAGACAGATAATGCGCCGCTGTCGGGCCTGCTGTACCCTATCCTGCAGGTGCTGGATGAGCAGTATCTCGACTGCGACGCCCAATTCGGTGGTATGGACCAGCGCAAGCTGTTCACGGCTGCCAAGGATTGGTTACCCAAGATTGGCTACCGGGAGCGTGCGCATTTGCTTAACGCCATGGTGCCCGGTCTGCACGGTGGCAAGATGAGCTCGAGTGACCCGGACAGCAAGATCGACTTGCTGGACTCACCGGAGACGGTGGCTAAGAAGATCAAGAAGGCGCACGCTGCGCCGCAAGTGGTTGAGGAGAACGGGCTAATTGCGTTTATCGAATATGTCCTGCTTCCAGCCGCGCGCCTACGTGGGAACGGGGAGTTCCGCGTTGAGCGCGAGAGGGACGGGCTGGAGACGCTCGTGTACAAGGATGCGGACAAGATTCGGGAGGATTACAAGAACGATGTGGTATGAGATACCCTCTCACTAAAGCTTTTCACCAGTGACTTACTGCTAACTATCCCACAGTTGACACCACAACTCCTTAAACCCGCTGTCACCAGGGACCTGAATCTACTCTTAGCCCCTATTCAGGAGGCCTTCAATGCTTCCAAGGAGTGGCAAGAAATTGGCGAGAAGGCCTACCCACCACCGCCCAAGAAGGAGAAGAAGGTCAAGAACAAGGGGACTCGCTACCCCGGAGGAGCGCCGCCAGCAAAGGGAGCTGAGGAGGAACTCCCAGTACGGCCGAGCGAAGGGACGCCGAATTGATGTTCCATGAGGCGTGACATGATACTCCCCAATGCTTGACATTTGCTTCCCACAGCACAAGGTCATAAAGGTGTCGAGAAGGTCACATCTGGCACTAACGCCTTCGGCTCACAAGGGAGTTCCGTCAAACCTCCAATCTGCCAGCGTCCCCCTTGTTTGCCGTCCTACAGACCGCATGCTAGGGATGAACGAATTCGCGTTGGCAACAGCGTAAGCCCCGCCTGCGGTGGGTTCGAGCCACAAGACCAGATTTTCGGATACCGACGGGATATTGGTCGTATTGTTCGTATTGTTCAAGCCAGTTACGAGCGGATATCTTGTACATTTGGCGTTTATAGACCCAATAAGATTCGAAAACGAATGCGAGTCGGAATATGTGTACCCATCCACTTATCCAATATGGAGGCTCCCCTTCCCCTGAATGGCATCATGGCCCCATGAATGACTCGCGATGAATAACCCTAACCCGTACTCGTCGCGAAGGGACCAAACATGCCAACAAATGAATCAGGTTTTTAACAATCCCCTTCTTCAGAATACTTTGACCCCATTGTTTCGTAACAAATTATTCAATCGCCAATGATCGCTCGCCACCATACCCGGCGAACCCGGGCATTCGGGAAGTTCTGGGGCTCTGGGATAACACTTAGGGAAATCCGCCACTAGCACGGTTCGGTGACTCCCTTTCTCCAGCATCCCCATCTTTCGTATTGTAATGCTATAGGGCCACGGGCTCCGTAGGCTTCGCGTTCGCATTTAGAACTACCGGCGGCGCATAGCGGCGGGAAGTGATCCTGGATGCAACGTCAGCTAATGTCAGCGGGAGGTAAAAGAGTTGTGGCGTCCACTCACTGTACTTATACAAGTCTTAACTACATACCCATATTCCGCACACCGAGGGTAGCCACACCTAAGGGGAACCTGTTACGTTGTTTTATGCACCTTTAAGTCAGACACAGGTTTTCTTGACCGTCTAATTTGGGCTTCTCACTTCCACCTTTGAATCCTGTCCAATGTTCACTTAATCAATCATTGGGACTGCGCCCTTAAATTCGCCAGTCGATCATTCACCACCCCGCATGGGCGAACGAAAACACCGCGCTAACGGCGCCGGCACCGGTCCCAGGTCCCGGGCTGGACCCACCACCTCCGGCATGGCTCTCGACGGCCGCGAAGGCTTCCCTTTCCCCCCACTGGATGCCCTGTCTTCATCACAATACGACGAGCGTCAGAACAACCTTGACGGGGTTGAGGCTGGCATAAGAAGGAGAGGCGTGACTCCAGAATCTCATCTCCCAAGCCAGCCGGCTATGGCGTCCACGTCCAGCGACTTCGACCACTTTGGCCCGGAACCCAATTCCATAACTCCCGCTTCATCACCACGGCCAGAAACCGATCCGTCATCATACCTCCCCCCATCTCCCGCACACACCCTCATCCCCTCAAGCCCTTCCTCAATCTCTCAAGATGACTCCTACGGCTCCTCTTCCTGCCCCTCCCCCAGCAGCACCGTAGCCGCAGACGACAATAACAGCCATGCCACCTCATCTCACGCCGACAACCACGACTACGATCCACGCCCCAACCCCCGCCCGCCCAAATTCCGTGGCCCCGTCTTCACCCGCTCCTTCACAACCTTTGACCGTCAAAACCCGCACGCGGCCAACTCGCCGTTCCACGGCTTCTTCACGCTCTTCTGGATGGCCGTGTTCCTGTTTGTCGTCAAGTTGGGTGCGTCGAATTGGCGTGCACATGGCAGTGTGCTGGGGACGAATGAGATTCTGACCAAGGTCATGTTTGGGAGCTGGAAGGAGGTGGGCGTGTTGGCGGCTGGTGATGGGGTGATGTGTGGGTTGACTGGGTTTGGGTGGGTCGTGCAACGGATGGTGGTGAAGGGGGAGCGGCTGAGGGGTTGGGAGAGTTGGGGTTGGGTGGTGCAGAATGTGAGTTTGCTTGTCTTCCCTTTTGGAGGGTGCTTGTGACTGACGATGGTGGGTAGATCTGGCAGATGGCGTTTATCGGGGGTGTCGTGGGGTTTACGCGCCTGAGGGAGTGGCCGTGGACGCATACGGTGTTTTTTGTGTTGCATGGGCTTGTCATGCTCATGAAGCAGCATTCTTATGCGTTTTATAACGGGCATCTCAGCACCGTGTACAAACAGCGGAAGTGGTTGCTTGGAAAGCTGAAGGAGCTGGAGAAGGTGTCGCCTGTTGCCTCACCCTCGATGACGGAACCTCCGGTGGCGGATATCGGTACCACACACCTGGCGAAGATCCCCTCGGCGAAAGAAAGACGCTTGTCGCTGCCGCATGAGAATCTGCTAGACGTCGAAAAGATCGTGACCGCGATCGACTCGGGCGAGCCGCTAGATCAAGAACAAATACACGTCTTCGAACGCGTGCTCAAGTGGGAAGTCGACGCACTCTCGGACGAGTTGAAGGGCAAATCGACCAAACCTGGGCGCGAGTACCCCCACAACCTGACCTTGGCCAACCATTACGAGTACCTATTCCTCCCCACAGTCGTCTACGAACTCGAGTATCCGCGCTCCAAGTCGATCAACTGGTACTACGCGGCCGAGAAGTTCGCGGCCTGCTTCGGTATCATCCTGGTTATGAACCTGATCTCACAAACCAGCATCTACCCGGTGGTTATGGAAACAGTGCGCATGAAAGAGGAAGGAGTGCCGTTGGCCGACCGATTCCGCGAGTTTCCCTGGATACTGCTGGATCTGATATTCCCGTTCATGATGGAATACCTCCTGACGTGGTATCTCATCTGGGAGACGGTCCTGAACCTGGTTGCTGAGCTGACCTACTTTGCGGATCGGGGATTCTACAACGCGTGGTGGAACTGTGTCTCGTGGGATCAGTTCGCGCGTGACTGGAACCGACCTGTACACAACTTCCTGCTTCGCCATGTTTACCATAGCTCGATCTCGGCTATGAAGGTGAACAAGCATACGGCAACGCTCATCACGTTCTTCTTATCGGCGCTTATTCATGAACTAGTGATGTGGTGCATCTTCAAAAAGTTAAGGGGGTATCTGCTGTTTCTTCAGATGTGTCAGTTGCCGGTAAGTTCCCCCCTTTCTCGTTCCTTTGGAATTGTGTCTATTCCGTCCGGTTCTAACTCGAACGCTCGTAGTTGGTCAGGCTTAGCCGGACGAAATGGCTGCGGAACCGAGCAACACTTGGCAACATGATGTTCTGGTTTGGCATATTGACGGGGCCGAGTGTCCTTTGTAGCCTGTACTTGATTCTGTGATTGAATGCCGCGTCAGAGCTTGCCCAAGAGCTTTGCTAGGAAACGTGGTGAGCAAGAGATAAAGAACAAATAGAAGCAGTTCGTCCGTTCGTTCTGGAATGGGACTTGCGACGAAACTCGCATCGGGATAACTTCCTAGTCATTACTCATGCATAAACGATAGAAATCCCAAACTAAGGCTGGGGCATGTGATGAGCCATGGCTATAAACGGTAGTGTTTGGACGTGTAAGTGTATGTCGTGGACACTACGGAAGCTTAGTCTCTCGGTATTAGTGCGAAATTTGCCACCGAGAGAAAGCCGATGGATGTTTGTTTGCCTCAAGATCCGCCCTCGGGGTTGCAGCTGCACAAGTCCGGAGATCCGCAGCGAAACTTGCATCGCGCTGCACAAGCAACTGAGCGTCATTCTTGGCGCGTGTTGGAACCCTTCAGCCAATCGCTGACTCCATAAATATGGGCCCAACATGGCCAAGGCTGGTTCTGGCGCCTGCCATTCCACTTTCTCCGAACATTCCAACTCCTGCCTTTCGAGGTTGTCAAACTCTCTTTGGACCTCATCAATCCATCATCGAGTGGTGGCCATTCTTGGTTGTAATTGCCTGCCAAGCATCGTCATTATTCGCGCTGGGAGGAAACCTTTTCCTTCCTCGGAAGAAACTGCAAATCAGGAGCCTCTCCATCATCGCGCGCTCACTTGAAACTTTTTTCCCAGGCCTTCGCGCACACTTCATCAACACACCCGCCAATATGTCTCGTAACGGGACCACCCTCTACGTGACCGGCTTCAGCCACGGCACTCGCGCGCGCGACCTCGCGTACGAATTCGAGCGGTACGTTTAATCACCACAAACACGACGGCGATGGTCCCGATCATCGGCAGCTTCGAGTTCGATCTTCGGTCCACCCACCTACCTCCCTCTTGCCGTCCTCCCCCCTCCGTCTTTCCTCGTCGTCGCGCTCCCTAGCGCCCCCATCCTCCCATTCCTCCTCGCCGCCGTCGCTCTCATAAACCGCGTTCGGTGTTTTCGGCTCGCTCGCTCAAAGTCACGACTCTCGTGCCCTCGCCTGCGCTTTCCCAGGTCCTCCCCTCCCCTTTTCGATCGAGCGGCCGGCCAAAAACAATTCATCCGTTGCATCGAGCGAGCAACAGGCCAATTCTTGGCAGTTATTTTTATTGAGTTTGAATGCGCATGGCTAGAGAATATACTTCCTCTCGAACGCTGCCATCGAATTGAGGTGCTGACACTGTAACTTGAATTAGCTATGGCCGCCTTGTGCGCTGTGACATCCCAGCGCCGCGGTCCGCCAGCAGCAGGTTGTAAGTAGTACGTGGAAATTCTCAAGTACGGCAGAGCCGTTGACGCTGTTCAGGTTTGCTTTCGTGGAGTACGAGGACCGCCGCGATGCGGACGACGCCTACCATGATATGCACAACAAGCGTATCGGTCGGGACGACGTCCTGAAGATCGAGGTAAGCACACTTTCAATCAACGGATCCGCATTTCCATAGGTTTTGTACTGACGATGCCAAAGTGGGCCCGCACCCCTCCCTCTGCCTCGTGGCGTTTTGAGCGCAACGAGCGGGACAGACCGCGCCGTTCGTCCCCGCGCCGCCGCTCGCCCAGTCCTCGTCGCCGTGACTACTCCCCCCGGAAGGACGACCGCCGTGACCGCGACCGCGACCGTGACTACGACCGTGACCGCCGCGACACCCGCGACCGCTCTCGCAGCCCCGATCGGTATGCCTCGGCCGCATCTTCCCCATTTGGGGAGCCTAACGTGTTGACATCAATCTAGTGACAGGGACCGTGAGGTCAAGGACGACCGTGACCGTGACGAGCGCGACCGTCGCGAAAACGGCACTAACGGTGACGACAGGAAGCGTATGACTCCCCTCGCAATTAGACTCAAGGCAGGCGATCTCTGACAACAACGGCGTATAGCTATCGATAGTCCCGAACGACCGGCCCACGACGATCTTGACGTCGCCGAATGAACGCCAATTCCCGCTCCCGTTTAACCCTCACTTTTTGCAATTCCTCCCGGGGTTTGGCCGTAAGACTGTGTTAATGATACACCTGGTGCTCCTTTTCCTCTGGTCTACTGATGTTGGGCGTCTCGAGGCGCTCGACCTTCATCAAGCTCTCCCGCTTCCCGTTTCCCGTTTCGAGTCGGCCGAGAATATTAATTATCTTTATCGCCCGCGTTCCTTAACGGCATTAATATCGGGGGATCCTCGTGAACGGCAGATCCTGGAGGCAGGCGGTCGGAGATGCGCGCACGCGATCGTTTCAATTTCCTTACGTTCTTGGTGGGGTCGGTGGGAAACTAAAATAGACACGTTGTTCCTAGGTAGCAATCACAGATTGGTTTCTCAGTAGCAACGTCTTTTAATGAGCTCAGTGTCGTCGATGCCATTCGAAAAGGGACCACCGCATTGGAGGCAGTCTGGAAATGGCGGTCATGCCCCCCTCTGGCTTGGCAAGTGGGAACGTTGGTGAAAACAACCCGAGAGGCCAACGACTTCTCTCGGCTATTGGCGGCAATGCGATGCACTTTCGGGCGATGATTTGCTCGTTGTGAGACGGCCTTCGGCTGCATGCTAGGCTTGAAAAGATCAATCAATTGGTACAGACGAGCGAGGAATTCCAGGCGCTGGGTGATAGTTGCCTGATAGAAGGGTTGTTTCATCTGTTTGGTCAGAGGACAGCCGGGGGTGAACAGTTCAGCTGGTTTGGCGCAGTGACACGGCGAGCATGGCTCAGCTGTAGCACAGCATCCGATTTGTCCAGCGTCTGACCTGACTGTATCCTGTGGTGCTCGACCGCAGCGCGGGTTGCATCCCATGCCTGTCGGGCGATCCCTCGCAGCAGGTCATCTGTATGCTGCGCGAGGTACCTTGCGTTCCGTGCAGCCCTGTTTTGGAGGAAACGCATGCGGCTTTGCCAAGTGGACGACATTTGGCACTCAATGGTATACTTGGACAAGTGTAACTCGTACTCGAATAGCGCATGGTCAAACAATTATCATTTGGGACCAATGGTCCTCGCTGCGGCGGTCCTTAACTAAGGACGAAGTAGACATTCAGGTTCCCATCGGCACTTCGTTTCGACGGGACAGGGCGTGATTCCCTTCTAACTGAAAACCGGGCTCGGGGTTGGACGAGACAGAGCCGCGCTGTCGTCGAAAGGCTTGGCGGCTTCGCCGTATTCCACTTTTCGTCATCCCAGCCCCAGCAGCAGACCCCTCGACCCACTGCTGAACCAACAGGAGCCAATCTTCACCAGCCACACGGGCCTTCTTCCAAAAGCTCCAATTCTCCAGCAGTCTCAGGAGCAAATCTCCAAACCGAAATTGGTCACGTCCACGCATAAGGGTTCCGCCGTAATTGTCGCGGCAGTCTCCCTTTCTTCTTCCCCCCTCCTCCTCCTCGACTCGACGACACTCCCACGTGTTGGCAGTGGGCACATCCTCGGTATCACCAACATAGTCTCAACCACGACTTTCGCCCACCACAAACGTAACGGCACCACCTATGCTCCGCGAGGTCCCCAACGCGGCTTGTTTTCTCGACATGTCAACCTCGAAACCATAACCTTCGGATCTGAACCATCCTTCGAAAGCCCGGACTGCTCTTTTTTTAGGACTAGAAGCGTTTCTGGGGTGCCCGGTCTACTCCACGCCTTTGTCCCCTTTTCCCTCGACAGACAAGGGAGCCGTCCTCGTCTGTTCTTCGATTCGCGCAACATCGATCAGAGAGAGACCTTTGCGACCGAACCTGTGAGAACAACGGTTTTACCACCGACGAATACTTTCGCGGGGGTCTAAACTCGGCAGTCTACCACAATGTCTGCAGTAAGTTGTCCTCGTCCCTTAACATCGCCGTCGTGAGGCTGCCCCACGTCTCGATCCCTCTTGGTGCCACATGATCCATATTCTCAAAGAAAGCAGCCCGGGGCGCTTTTCAGTCATGTGAGTACTGACATACCTCCTCTTCAGCCGACGCCAAAAGCAGGGCAATCGGAGCCCAGGCTACCGACCTCTACCACATCACCCACACAACCTCCCGCGGCCCCCCCCACAGAAAGATTTAACCCGACTGTCCAATTCCTCGGTTTTATCTCCGATCCCGTGGTTGCCGCCTTTTGCGCCGGCGGCGTAGCAGGCGCTGTTTCCCGTACTGTAGTATCACCGCTCGAGCGCCTCAAGATCCTGTTCCAGGTCCAAAGCGCCGGTCGCGATGCGTACAAGCTGAGCGTGGGGCAAGGGTTGGCGAAGATGTGGAGGGAAGAAGGTTGGCGCGGATTCATGCGCGGGAACGGGACCAATTGCATTCGCATTGTGCCGTACTCGGCGGTTCAGTTTGGGAGTTACAATTTCTACAAGAGGGTGGGTTGTCCCCCGGTCCCCGATGAATGATCCAAGAGACCGCGAGACAGAGGAGATACTAACACATGCCCCGGTAGCAGTTTTTCGAACGACACCCCGGCGACAGCTTAACCCCCCTCTCACGCCTGACCTGCGGCGGTATTGCCGGTATCACATCCGTCACCTTCACCTACCCCCTAGACATCGTGCGCACACGACTCTCGATCCAATCCGCTTCATTTGCAGAGCTCGGCAAGCGACCGGAAAAGCTCCCCGGCATGTGGCAGACTATGATCTCCATGTACAAAACCGAGGGAGGGATCCGCGCGCTATATCGCGGGATCGTGCCGACCGTGACAGGCGTCGCGCCCTATGTCGGCCTTAACTTTATGACATACGAATTCATCCGCCAATACCTAACCCGCGAAGGTGAACAAAACCCCACCGCCGTGCGGAAGCTGGTCGCGGGTGCCGTCTCTGGCGCCGTGGCGCAAACTTGCACCTACCCATTGTAAGTTGCCTATTATGCTTGCAACACACTTCATTCACATGAACTTGACAAATACTAACCCCTGGAAACAGTGACGTGCTCCGCCGCCGTTTCCAAATCAACACCATGTCCGGCATGGGCTATCAATACAAATCCCTCACGGACGCCATTCGTGTGATTGTGACACAAGAAGGTCTCAAAGGCCTATACAAGGGCATTATCCCGAATCTATTGAAGGTGGCCCCGAGCATGGCATCCAGCTGGCTCAGCTTTGAGCTGTGCCGCGATTTCCTTGTCACCCTGAAGCCAGAGGAGGAGGAGCCGCTGTTGCAATAATATTGCCCGGTGGCAAATCCCAAGATGCTTCTTGAGAGGTGAGATTGTGTGGTTGAATGTACACAACATGAACTGCGGGCTAACACAAAGATTACAGGCTCAGGGCGTTGATCAATCAATGAAAGCTTCTTTTCCCGGCTGTTCCCTTAGATACGCCGCTAATACCCTAGTTGTACATACATACTGTGAACATTTTCTTGCCCTCCCGTCTTTATTTTGGTCCCAGGTATTCGTTCTGCTCCCGCACGTGCCCCTGATGCACGCAGAATCGCGGACAGAAGGGAGAACTTGCAGACTCATTCTACCAAGAACTTCAACGATCGCCAACGCACCAACGCCTCCTCACATAAAAGGGGGCAGCGACAGCGTGTAACCGGGGTTCTTCCCCCGGAAGATGCTGAGAAGAAGGCTGTATACCACAAACAATACGCCGAACCAGGCAGCAAATGCGATGCCTTGGTTTCGGGGATCGGTCATTCGGGGAACCTTGATGGCCAACGAGATGCTGGAGAGGGCGAGGACACCATCTGCATTTGATTTTCGAGTGGCGTTAGAAAAAAGATCTGGGGGCATACACATGGATAGGCGGATGGATGGATGTCATGGCAGGAAAGGAAGAGGGTGGGAGGATAAAGAAAAGGCATGGGGATCAATAGACTTGTGTTACATGACCCCCGGCCTGCCCGTGCTGTGAAAAAAGGGGGAATGCAAACAGAAACTTACACATGGCAGCCACGATCTGGGTCTCCAGCCCATACTGGTTCTGAAAACCGCTGGCAAAGTAGCTGATACCACCCTTTCCATCGCCGGCAACGTAGGGCACATTGCGAATGTGATTGAACATGTGGCCGCTAGTGAAGAGAAGGATCGAGATGAGCGTAATGGCAGCCCAAACTGTGCGGCTCTGGATCACGGGCAATACATAGGGCCACGCGACGGAGCATGCAGTCAGTGTGCCGGAGAGCACTACGAAGGTTGAGATCCATCGCATCCAGTTGATCGGGCGCTTGATAGGCGGGTGTGGGCGGTCGGGTAGCTGCTTGGAAAGCCAGTTGTGGACGACGTCGGCGGCTTGGGCGCTATAAGGGCCGTCAGTGATCTTATGTTCCTTGTCCACCCTCACCGTGTTTCCAAGGGCTAGATGCAGTTTGTATCTCTAGGGGATAGGACTCACCCGCCAGAGAAGTCATAGCGGACCGGCTCCGAAGAGGCGGCAGCGTGGGGTCCAGTCGAAGGGGGGAAGAAGAAGAGCACCGGGGCTGTTTGCAGACCCAACTACAGCACACAGCAAATGTCAGTCAATGCGATACTGCAACTCATAACCACGAGCCCTCTAGCGCGGGGAAGCCTCACACTCATGAACACATCCCGCCCATCCCCAAAATCCAGGGTACCAAAGACGACGCGGCTCTCGCCCTTGCGGTCTCCGTTCGTCCAGCTGCGCGCCAGCAGCTCCCATTCAGGCTGGAACTCCCGGCAAAGCTGACACCCGTACCGTGAGTCCATCGCCGTCAAAAGGACCGCAACTGAATAGTCGCGTGGTGTCGACGTCAGCTCCCGGTATGAGGCGTCGGCTAGCTTGACAGGGCTGCTGGAGAGCGCCTTGTTGTGGTAGAGCTGGAAGCGCTCTTCGGGGGTCTTCTTGCCGGGCGCTTTGGCGGCGAGGGCACCCGTCGCGCTCAGCGCGAGGGAGAAGAGGGAAAGCCAGCGCATCTTGGGCTTATGCGAATGTTGTGTGGTTGTTTCGTTTCTTTTGCGGGTTCGAATGTGGAAGTCGTGGAGCCGTTATCCGCCGCTGCACGTCGGTAGGGTCAAGAGGTTTGGGTGGGTGGGTTCCGAGACCACGGAAAGAACCCAATTGCTCCTGGAAGAGAGCAAGTAGGCGGAAACCGGCTAGAGAGGCGTCCGCAAGTGTTGTGGTGAGGTTTGCTGACGTCCTCGTCGTCCGCGGATTCAATGTCCGGCAGCGTCTTGGCGGGTGCGATTGACACGGAGCTTCTTCAGGCAAGTGTGTCCTCAGCGGGAATTGGAGCTGCAAGCTGCGGCCCCAAAGCTGGCGCAGACCCCTGCATCTTGGCATTTGATCAGTCAGGGACATCATTGACGGGCCGACAACGACCGCCAAAAGGGCAGGGTGGGGGCCAAATGAAGCTAATCCATTTTCGGAACACTGTTTACTTTCAAACTTGATGTGTGGGTTGCGCACTCTCCGCCGTTGCATCATCCATCGACCTCCACCGCCCATCCATCGCCTTTGCCTCCCACACGACCGGACCAAATGATCTTGGCTTGATTGTATTGGTTTTTTCTAGCGATTTAGTCTTCTTTCTCCCTTCGTTTTCTTCCAATTATTTCCATCCTTATGCCGTCGAAGGACGCGTCGCCATGTGTAAACATGGCATCCCAACAGGTACGCGCTGTCCCACGCCGTTCGCAACGCTCTTGTTCTAACTGAAATCCGGCATCAGGTGTCCGACAACGTTCACGATCTCGATTTGAAGTATAGAAGTGCAGTGCACGAGTGTGACCTTGTGGCCCGAGACGAGGAAGCGCGGCGATTGAAACTGCGCAACATGATACTGGAGGATGAGGCCACGGGGTCCAAGGACCAGCTTGCCCAACGAGACATCCGCATCAAGGATCTCATCGAGCAAATCAACGATTTTCGGGGACAACTGGCCGGCGCGGATGAGAAGTCTCGCAGGCAAGACAATCTCATGCAGTCGCAGATGCGCGAGATTGCCAACTTGAAGGTAAGGCCGCCAGCCCTGAACTTTGCAAATCAATGCTGACGGCTCGCGAACCGATTATAGGAAGAACTCACGGCGTTCAATGCTGTATCGCAAGATTCGGCCAAGGTCCTGTCTGAGAAACTCGCCCTTTCCCGCGAAGTCGCTGTCCTAAAACCCGAATTGGAGCACCTGCAAACCCAACTTGTGCACCAAAAAGACGTCCTCGCCGAGAAACTGGCATTGCAGCGCCAGGTTGATACTTTAGAAGTCGAACTTGCCAACGGAAAGCGAGCGGCGGAGAAGACAACTGCGGAACAGAATAGCGACAGACAAGTCGAAGAGGACCTTCGAAAACAAATCCGTGAGCTGGAGAAGGAACTGGCCAAGGAAAAGAAGGCCGCAGGCAAGAAGACGAAGAACGGCGAGAAGAAGAACAGCGAAGCTGAGGGCGAGCTAGACTCGCTACGGGAACAACTAGCTGCCATGGAAGTGAGCCTCACTGCCGAAAAGCGCAAGGTTGAGCAAGTAACCACCTCTCAAAATGACAATACCGAGGAAGAAATCCAACAACTTCGCCAAGCCCTCAAAGAGACTCAGGAGGCCCTAGTGGCGGAGAAGCGGGCAGCCAAGCGACAAGTCAAGCTCGAGGCTGGTCCTGAGGAAGAAATGGCCCAACTTCGGGAAGAGCTCGATGAAACTCGGAGAGAGCTCGCAGAACAGAAGAAGGTGCAAGAGAAGCTCCGCAAGGAGAATGAGCAGGCACAAATCGATGCAGAGGAGAGGCAACAAGCCGCTGCGGACAAGGTCGACAGGATACGTACCAAGTACCGCGACGTACAAGAGGAGCTCAAGAAATGCAAAGCCGAATTGGAGAAGGCGCAGGATAAGGCAACCAAGCTCTCTAGCGTTTCAACCACGTTAGTCCCGGTCAAGGGCGTTGTGGCCAAGGCGAACGGGAAGAAGAAACGGTCTGCCGACGAAATGAGCGTTGATAATAAGGTTCTCCTTACACCCGGCGGCATGGACGAGCGACCGAAGCGGCCTATTAAGAAGAGGGGTTTCGACTTGTCCATGGTGGGTGGCAAGTCCGAGTTCTCTATCACTCCGTTCCTTAACAAGACAGTGAATCTCGATGGCTCCCCGAAACCAGATGGAAACGACACTACCCCCGCACCCGTGGTCCAATTCCGTGGTGCAGACGCGCCCGCTGAAGAGACTACCGAAGAGCCAACCGAGGGAACCACCGGGACGCCCGCCAAAAGCCCGGCAGCAACCGCCGCTGAATCCGACACGAAACCCTCCAGCGCCAAGCTGACAGAGAAGCGGCCGCGCGGCCGTCCTCGCACGAAGCCCCTCGGTGACTCGTCCGCTTCCAAAAAGAATCTTACCGTCCGCAACCGAAAAGCTCCGCGTGTTGAGTCGTCTCTTGAAAAGGTCGCCGAGGAGCCCGACGAGGCCGACAGCAGCACCAACCAAGACCAAGAGAACCGAACCGCCAACACCTCGGACGCCAGCGCGAACAGCACTACAAAACCTGCTACCATCGCTCTTGCCCCAGAGAAGCCCGAGCCCAAGAAAAAGAAGCGCAAGCTCGGTGCGTCCAACACCTCCACTCTCTTCGATGGCGCCGAGGACGAAGGTGAAAGGGTGGCTGCCGCTTCCGCTGTTGCTGCTGCCCCGGCCCCAACCGCAGCCACCTCGGTAGCCGGTGTCAAACGGGCGACCAAGCTAGGCGGTGCGGCAAAGGCGGTTGGGGCTGGTAAAGGTCCCAGTGCGGCGAGATTTGGTGGTGCTGGTGGGAAGAGTGTCTTTGGAGGCGCGGCATTTTCGCCGTTGAAGAGGGAGAAGAGGGGCGTGGCCGCTAGCTTTTTAGCTTGAGGGGAAAGAACGGAGAAGTAGGGTGTGTGGCTGTAGAGGAATTGCTGTAGGTTACATTATCTTGTGGGTTGTTGGGTTATGTCTGCGTTGGCATTGGGCATGTTTTTGGCGTTTCGGTCTTGACTGCTTGCATTTGGTGTTTGGGTTGGGAAGGGTTTGGGATTGTGGCGTTATTTACCGCTTACTTACCTGCTTTATTATGATATGATCAATGAGATGCTATGTTCTCTCGACTCGTTGGATTTGTTGTTGGCGAGTATGGTTTGTCAACAAACATTATTGAACGGAGTAGTTTACTTTTTACAAATCCATATGAATTGAAGTAAATGTAAGGAATGTCGAAACACGACAACTTGCCCTGCTCAAAAATTAGTTTGACACCATAATTTCAGTTTAACTCTAACAACACAGTCCGGGCATCCTTTTTTTTTTTTCACTTCATATTGAGGACCAGAAGACCAGAGAATGTATGTTTTTAAGTTGTGTTCTCATACACAACGGCTTTGCTGCACACCCGGGACCTGGTCTCCACAACGCCCACTCAAAAGTCAAACTCAAAACTTGCAACTAATGGTACTCAAACACCACAGCAAATGAGCAGTCCTCTCATCAAGTAACTTCTAACTTAATTCTTTTTATTTTCAGAATTGAAGATTGCATCTGAAATTCTTGAAATTGTTGTTCAATCGCAAATCGATCCAGATGCCCCCACCATGGACGCGAGGCATCGTCCGCCTCACGGTCCCCTCGACCACCTCCTCATCATGCCTTCACTCACATATCCTCATGGCTACGTCATTAACGCCCTCCGCTTCACAAATATCTCAAGCTAGGATACCACCAACATGCCCCCCCTCTCCATCACTCAACTCCCGACAACAAACCCGCCTCTCCTCCTCCAACTCCAAATGGAAAGCCCGCCAAATGCGCGACCCCTTCGTCCGCGCCGCCGAGGTGCAAAACCTCAAGTCACGCGCCGCCTTCAAACTCATGAGCATGGACGACGACTTCAAGCTCTTCCACAAAGGCAAAGGCCAGGTTGTTGTTGACTTGGGGTATGCACCTGGGAGCTGGTCTCAGGTAGCTTTCGACCGCACCAAGCCGAACGGTACGGTTATCGGTATCGATATCCTCCCGGCGCAGCCGCCTAAGGGGGTGACTTCGATCCAGGGGAATTTTCTGGATCCTAGGGTACAGCAGCTCGTGAAACAGGTTCTGCTTGAGGGCGAACAGAAGAGGGCGTTGGAAAGGGCTGAGCGGAAGAGGAGGGCTAAAGAAGCGGGCGTTGGGGCCGGGGAGGAGGCAGAGGGTGAGGAAGAAGCGGGGGACGGCTTTGCCGATCGACCGAGTTATATTGATCTGGAGCGGAAGGCGGCGCAGGAAATACTTGCTGCCAGTGGGAGTGAGAGCGAACATTCTGGCTCCTCTGCCTCGACAGAATCCGCATCTGAGGAAGGAGATGGCGAGCAAGAGCACGCTCCGTCAAAGGAAGATAAGAAACCCAATCTACGGGTAGTAGACGTATGTCCACCTCACATCCCCCAAAAGCACCCCCAAGGAGAACCTGGGTAAACAACGCAGACCAACAGATGTGAAAACTGACACCTCCCGATATGCACTCCACCGCATCAACAGATCGTACTCAGCGACATGTGGGAACCCTGGCCCCTAACCCGCGCCTTCTCGATCAAAAGCTTAAAAGCCCCATATGACAGGTTGATGAACGTGAGCGGCATCGTCTTCAGGGACCACGCCCAAAGCATGGTAAACCGGCCCGTTCCCTGTTTCAAAAATTCCCGTCATGTGTCCTTTTAAAGGCATGCTAACCATTACCCTCCCCAACTTCCCCTTGGGGTGACGGGCATGCCCGCTCTCCGAGGCGGAACATACGGGGAGACGGCGCCCCGCGTTGCAAAACAGGATCTCTGTCATGCCGCGCTGTCGTTTGCGTCAGACACACTCAAGCCGGGTGGGCATTTTGTCTGCAAGTTCTACCAAGGCACCGAGGATAAAGCCCTTGAGCTGCTGTTGCGGAAAATGTTCGACACTGTGAAGAGGGTGAAACCCGATGGGTCGCGGAGTGTACGATACCCCATTTCAAATTTGCTTCGTTTATGGGTTCTAGGCTAACCGCCGGGGTGTTTGGCGCAGGAATCAAAAGAGGGTTTCTACGTCGCATTAAAGAGGCAAGGGGATGTGACGCTTCAAGATATACAGTGAACCCCGCGAGAGCTCGCCTTACCGACGGGGGTTTGTGGGCTTGATGGCCCAACGCGGGATTCAGCATTTTGTACCATATGACGCTTGTAATGTACCATCAAACATTTGTAATCCGAACGTGGGGGCTCAATGGCATTGTCATTCATAGCCGTGGCAACATGATCTTATCTGGTCAATTTCTCATAACCGTGAAAAAGAAAAAAGACTTTTCCCGTGTCCCGTATGCATGTTCCCAGCACAGTTCCGCCAGCCAAGATAAAGCATGCCTGAAAACAATTTGCCATGCGACGACCAAGAACCCCACGCCATGCCCCAAACTCCAAAGGGTATCGATTTCCACCACTTTAGACCTTGAAGCCACGCGACCTTCTGCGACCACGGGCACGCTCGAACTTGCGGCCCTTGGAGCGGACGTGGGGCTTCTAGTGGGGGGTCAGTACTGGTCAAGCTATAACTCGATGAACGCATCCGACGTACCTTGTTCTTGTGGGGGCCGAAACCGAAGTGCTTGACGGCCTCACGAGAGTTCTTGGGGCCGCGGAGCAGGAGGGTGTTGGCGCCAGTGGGCTTCTCGAGAGCGAGCTGGTCGAGGGTGATGACCTGGCCGCCGGCCGCGGTGATGCGGGCACGGGCGGTGGCGGTCACACGGAGAGCGGCGATCGACAGCTTGGGGACGGTTAGGAGACGGTTGTCGTCGGTGACGGTGCCGACAACAACGATCGTCTTGCTCTCGCCGCCGTTCTTGATGTTGGCCGCAATGCGGGAGAGGGAGACGGGAGGGCGGTTGATGCGGCTCATAAACAGGCGGCGCAGGACCACCTTGTTGAAGGGAGCATCAGTGCGGCCTGCCGAGTCTCGGGGTTAGAGCGAGCAAGAAATTTGAGGGCGGATCGGTGCCAAAAGACTTACGGGCCAAGAAGCGGTAAAGCTTCACCAAGAGCTTCAGGTAGACGTTGTCGCTCTTGGGGGCCTTGCGGTGCGTGGACCGCTCGTGGTGCTTCCGCAGATCGATACCTATAATCCAACGAAGACTCCGGTCAGCCTTTGGGTCCTAGTATGCTCAATTTGGCCTGCGTCAACCAGCGAGAAATCGTCTGAGTGCGTAGCCTTGACCTCTCTATCTCTCACCTTTCGGGAGAAGAGGCGCTCGGCAGCAACGACAACGAATTCTCGACCGGGAGCAAATTTGCCATGGTTCGCAGAGAGAAACATGTTTCAGGATCTCGTCCACTCGCACACAAAGGCTTCGAGGAGATTGGGTTACGTACCCATCGTGGCGGCTCGTGGATTGTCGACAAAAATCCGAGTCGATGGGAAGTTCGTTTGGCGATGGTCAAGAATTTCGAAGTCGCAAATTTTGGGGAGATTTTGGTGCCAGTGGGGAGGGTTTGTGTGTTGGGCGGTAAGAAGCGGCAGATTGTCGGATTGGGTAGGTAGTTTGACCAGTGAGCCCTTGCGGCCCACCACCAAGAGTTGCGGAGCCCCACTTAACCTACCCTTACCTAATCAGGGCCTCATCAAAGGCTCCCACTAGGCGCACGGGTCCGTGCGCTTACGTAAACCTGAAATAGCTTA